ACCCCTTCCCTTCCGCTCCCTAGGTTTGCCTTTGTTGAGCCCAGCGTCTCTTCCGCCAGCGCTGTCCAGGAGCATGAAATGCACGTGGCTGATTTTGGTACGTTTGTACAAGGCGACTGTTATGACGCCACACAGAGAACGCGCGCGTCAACATTGAAAAATTGAAGGAGTTGCGAAAAGGTGTGTGTGACAGTCGTAAGAGAAAGTGTTGACCTTGTGCATTTCTTGTATTTTGAAGTTTTATCACAATTATACTTCTTTCTTTAAAATTAAACTTTGGTGAGTGTTTCTTTATTACTCCCGAAGAATCTGATTCCCACATTTTGGGGGCTCAGCCGGGGTGTGAGGATTGAAGTCGACGGGAATACTATTCGGGAGTGACGACGAAAAGACGAGGCAAAGATGTGACAAATTGCACTTTGACTTTCAAAATATGACGGATTTGCTTAAAAAACTCATCCAAATATTAATGTCGAATGCAACCCGCAGCACTAAGTCAGATATTACGTTAAATAATCTCTAAACAAAGCTTTCTAGGGCCTTAAAAATTAAAATTTCGAGGCGGAAAACCTCAAAGAAACGTTCCTTGCGCCGTAATCTACAGGATGAGATATTCTTGGACCTTCTATTAAATGTTTGCTGGTTCGGCACTTATCGATACTATCAATTCCACCTAGATTTCAAGCCTAGGTGATGGTGGCAATCTTTGTAACACCACGCTTATAAAGCTTAGATTCCTCTATCTTGAACTATTTACGCTCTCTGTGTACACCATGTTTTGCGCAGACTGACAAGATTTATTTACATAATTATTAATTCGCAACAACCAGAAGTACTATTAAAAGTTTCTTGATACCGATGAAGATCGTTCCTTTGCATGTAGTGAACACAGTCATTTAACGTTTCGCCTAGGTCTACAGGTACTGTGTATCTAATGGTGGAAGGATGAGAGTGTACAGCGAAGAGTGAAGACGTGTCTTGTTAGGTTTGGTTTGTGTTTTACCTGTACCAATATTTTCGTTATCAGCAGTGATTCGGTGAAACTTTGAAATTGGCGTGTTTTTACGGAACGAGTATTTCACGTACATACACATTTTGGGGTCCCCCGATACCGAAAAAGTTATTTTGAAATCGTCCGTCCCTCTATCCGTCCGCCTGCGAACACTACTAGCGTCTAAACCATACATAGAATTTTTTCAAAAATTGAAGAAACCGCTGTCCATCTGGCTCGATTCGGAACTTTGAAGATATGGAAATCTTCGAGATTATGAAAAAAAAGCTCTTTAAAATTAGGAGGTTCTTTACAGGAAACATTTTTATTTTACAGGACATTTCAAACTTTTCTGAAAAACGGCTGAAAATTTGTTCTTTAAATTTCTTATAAGAATAGTTAAGTACACTTATAAAAGTGACGTAGGTCCTATTTTCAGGTTTAACTCTGAATTTTGAAAATTTCAAAATTGTTTGAGCCTTCCTACACTACAAAATTGAAGATAAAGATTTTTCCTGCAAATAAAATTCGTTCTCCAAAGTGAGTTCTTTCATTAAGGATATTTTTTTGAAAATTTTGGTAGATTTCCATCCATATGGCGTTAAATATTTGCAATTGTTGAATTGCAAAATTTGTCTAAAAAAATTACAAAAACAAAATTTAGCTAAAAACGGCTCTAATTTTTTTCTTGAAACTTTTGGTAGAGATAGTACTAAATTCACTCTATTAGATGACTCTCTATATTTCCCTATTCTTTTGATGTTTTTTTACAAAAATTACACAAAAGTAATTTTTTGAAAGATTTCTCACGTCTTTAATAGGTCACTTCAAGCGATTTGTAACCACTATTACATTTGTAACTGGAAGTACTTGAAATGACAACATGAAGTTTTTCAAAAACTCAATAGTGTTCTATGAAAAGAAGTTCAAATTCCGAATTTATAGTAGCATCTAAATGTAATTTTCTTAAAAACGCCATTTTTAAAGAAAATTGCCATTTAGGACGAAGTTTTACTGTTCTTTAATATACTTAAAATATTTCCATTCTACTATTAGGAAGTCGAAAAATTAAGAAAAATTAAAGAAAAATGTATTTTGGGAAGTGATAAGGCAAGAGTATGTGGCAAGTTCATATAGCTAGATGAGACCAAAGGAAATAGAAAACTAAGGGAAACTCTGTGCCATTCTGTAGCATTGCTAGTTACTTTCTTGCTGCTGCTTACACAGTATTGTGATGAACAAATGGTCCTAATTGAGTGGATATATTTGATAGTTTGTTTTCTGATAATAGTAATAATTTGTATACAAAGCGTTATAGGCTGTACCTCACTTTTACGTAAAAGTGTTGACAGGACTGGCTTGGTTGAATTTTAGATTTGCTTACAAGATACTTCTTTTGTAGGACCATTAATCTAACATTTTTTTAAAATGTTGTTCCTCCCTATAATTCAATACTATTATGTAGGTGAGAGTGGATTATGCCACAATAGATTGATAAAAGTGCTCTAGTTTTGAGGTATCTGGAAAAGTGTCCTAAGAGTAATAAAATTGAGTGTATTTAATTACAGAGTGTACCCACATGCTTATTATATGTTCGATTTTCATCAAAGAATCTTTCTAAAAATGTATGAATCTGATTCAGCAACATTTAATTTTTTGTTGTGGTTGTATGATGAAGTTTAAATGTTGATTAGTACAATTTTGACAACATTTAATTCTGATTCATTGAATTACAAGCAGTATTTTAGTGTATTTAAACATTCTGTCATATTAGTTTCTAGATGACTTAAGTTGCAGCCTTTACTTATTAAAGTTGTATCATCTACATTAGACATTACATAAAAATCAGAGGAACTTGGAGGATCTTTAACCTTTATGAGAAGTAGTTATTGTACCTGTCAAAATTTGATTTAACTTGATATAATGCATTTTCAGAATGCCAGAAAATGTCTATACCCCAAAATCCTGTGACTAACTCGACCTCTTATTCCAAAACTGTCTATTGTTTAATAGACTATTACTAAGTCTTGTCTATTATTTAATATGAGATTTGTTAGAAATATTTTGTGATGTATCAAATGCTTTTGAGATGTCAATGCATGTACCTGCTGCTTTTCTGTTTGCTTACAAATTTCCAAGAATTTCATGAATGAATTCAACAACAGCAGTTGCAATAGAAATATCTTTCCTGAAACCATGTTATGTCTTATTAAGGATATTATTATCTCCCAGAAACGTTCTGTAATTAATCAATAGTAAATAATTTTAATTAAAAATATCTTTATTACAGAAATTGTAATGACAAAAACTAAGTGTTCCTACAACACATACTTTCTTGTATCAGTAACAGTTATGTAAAATTATAATAATACTATTTCTGTCCATATTAACATATCTCAGCAATCACTGCCATTATCTTAGGCAGTGCATTACCTCACACATCTACTTTGTGGTTCACTTTGAACACTGTTTTGAAAGAAATGTTCTTGCATGAGCATTGCAATCTTGAATAACCAGCTTACGAGTATAAAATATAAATAAGCCTGTCAATAGAAATCTTGCTTCCTGCCTGGTGTTTTGTTTCAAAACCAATTTAGGAAAGAAGGTAATTTATTTTTCCAACTAGATTCAAAAGCATTCATTCAAATAGCATCCTAAAATACTACAAGAAATTATATTTGGCCAGCAATATATTATTTTCAGACTGCAACAAAAATGTTCATTCAATTCTTCTATTCTGGACTGTGCATGAAAACAAATGTGTAGGGTACCTGGTTGGCTGGAGGGTGAACCTTGTCTGTGAGGGTTTCACCAAACTAACAGGCAAGGAAGCTTGATACTGAGGGGAGTGGTGGCTCCCAAAGATGGACTTCCCCTCTATTGTGGACTTGGAGAATTTTGATTTTTTGTTGTTGTCAGTGCTGTCAATCTCATTTAATTTTTTAACTAGTTTGCCACTTTTAGGAACTCCCATATAAAAATGTCGGTTTTTTGCAATCCTCTAATTCTCACTATTCATTTTAGCCAGAGGTTTGTCAAAGAATTCATTCTATCAAGACAAAAGAAAAGAATACTTCTTAGATCTTTTCATTTCTAATTCTGTTTGCCCTTGTACAACCCTCAACATTACTTATTAATTACATATTTAGTGTATATATTCTACAAAAGCAGTTCTGTTTGACTGTGGCACAATGTTGACACCTTAAGAGAAGAGTTAAGGGCTGCCTACAGTTGCAGTCTGTCATTCTTCACAGTTTTATTTTCACTTCTGTTTTCTAGTTCGCAAGTTCAAAAAAGAATTTTTTTAAAGTATTCTATATTTACCTTCACTAATTTATATATTATCTCATCTATTGTATGGAACACTTTTAATTGAAAAAAATAGATAAAAATGGAAGAAATTATTTGTAATTTTAAAGAAAACAATTTTTTCTGTTTCAGGTTGTCTTGCATTAGGCTTAATTTTGGATATTGGAGTTTGGTTTTATGCCAAAGATCTTCAGGTTTATGATAATGATCTTTCAACTCCTGAAGCTCAGGAACCCCTGAAGAAGTAAACTTCAAAATGTAAAAATCCAACAAAGAAGACTGCTCTCATTACATTATATACACCTATTTAAGTAAAAGTTATTTTTATTTATTGTTTTTATTAGTGTATGTACTCAAATATTTTTGTCAACACTAGTAAATGTGATGACTGACTGAAATATAACATTTTTTTGTACAAATGATAGTTAATCTATTATATTTAAATTTCTTTATTACCCAAATTATTCACAAACCATACTCTTATCTAAATTTAACAATTTGATTTAAAATCTTATAAAAGCTTTCTTATTATACTTGAAATAATGAATAGTACACAATTGTTGATAAGAACAATTATTTTACAAACAATTTTAATTGTACAATAAATACATGTTTACATTAAATATGAGCAATATTTAGTAAGGTTTTAAAAAGGAGTTGTTTTAATACTACATCAGTAAGAAGTCATTGCACTTAAATAATTCACAAATATTGTTTAGTGGCCAGGGGTGCCAAAAAGGGAGGGAAGCAGCTGTGGCAACTTTCCACAGGCATCAACTAAATTGAAATGCCAACATTTCTTCATTCAAAACTGTTGAGGAGACCATAGATTGTCTATAATAGTTTTTCTATGAGTATCACTACCATACTTCCTCATCCTCACGCCATGACTAATCATTCTGAATGGTCACTGTTGAAATACACCGAGCATGTAGACAGACCCAAAGGGAATAGCTAGAGTGATCTCATAAAACTGAATATTCTCTCTAACACTCTCCTGCTCTAGTTAAACATAATACACGCCCCCCATAAGCTTCTTCTTTACATCACCATTTCACTACTCTTTACATATTTATATACAAAAGTATACAAACGATTCACTGGAAGTCTAATCTCTCCACCGTTCCTATTATACTCTTCATCTTCACTATTGTGTTAGCTGGTAGGCCCTTCGTGAACATGTCAGCTTCTTTTTGGCTGGCCGGAGATAGGGATGCGACGTCGATGTCGATGTTTTAAACATCGATGTATTAACGACTATGTTTTTTAACATCGATGTTTTTCCTTTCCCGGTGTTTTGTTTCTGAATGAAAAATTCTCATGATCACAATACTCTAAAGTTAAAATATGATATAATAACTGATGGTAACACTAAGTTCATATGTTGGGACCAAAGGAACGCTGTTTGTACTACTTTCATCGACCAAACTCTCTCGCCCGAGATGTCCGCCATGCCCATGTATTTCCTCTTTCCTCATATTCATTTCGCACTTTGAGATGTGATCAACAGAAACGCTGTGGCCTTCTTCTCAAACCCTATTCGGCGAATACACGAACACACAAATTAAATTTTTATTCACACGAATTTAATGTTAGATGTTACTAAACCAGTCTAAAAACATCCATGGTTTTTAGTCGATCCATTTTCAACATCGATGTTTGCTCACATCGAAGTTTGGTTATCGATGTCGCATCATTAACTGGAACAAACTTGATACCCAGTAGCCCTTTATTAACTATGTGCCTTATGTTCTGGTACTGAGTTTCAATGTGTTTCGATCTTTAATGAAAACCAGTGTTTTTGATATACTTTATCGCACTTTGGTTGCCCATGTAAAAAATAGGGACTGATTGCTCTTCGACTGCCCCAATTTCCTTAAGCATGATGTCCAGCCACGCCAGTGATTTGCTCGCTATGCAGCAACAAATTCACCTTGACAGAGCGGCACATCTTTGAATTTTGCTCACCCATATCACTGATCCCCCACAGACTTCATGAGAATTCCACTTGTGGAACGCCTGATCTCCTTATCCCCTGCAAGGTCAGCATCACTATAGGTTTCTATACCCACTTTTGTGGTTTCACAAAGTTGAATCTCACACTTCATCGTTCCTTTGAGGTATTTGAGAATTCTTTCTCTGCATTGCTAACAAAATAGTAACTCGCTGTTACCTCTTTTCCTACCATTACGCATAGTGAACTACGCAACGTGCGCATAGTGAAGCTACATTTACGTCTAGAAACAAAACAAAGGGCCATCTCAGCATTTGCTCAATGGATCAGGGAACTGGACAAAAACGTGATCGAGACGGAGGTCATTGGCCCGGAAGCTGAAGTACGTTATTTGTTACAAACATATTAAGTCTTTTTCAAAAAAATATACAATACAAATGTAAACTAATTCAATATATCACTATTTTGTTAAAATAAACAGTATTTTTCTTTTAGATAATCAGTATTGTCTCTTAACTGTATAGAAACAGTTATGCAGCAGAAAAAAAAACTTTTAACTTAAATTTGTGAACCGACTTCAATTGTTTAATATCATCTGGCAATGCGTTGTAAAGTAACGTACATTTATTGTATGTGGATTTCTGATAGTGAGCTGTTGATACTAACACTTGATGAACGTGATTTTTACGACGTATGTTATAATTATAAATATCAGTATTGCATTAACATATGTTCCCACCGTTAAGTAAGTCACTTTTGACAAATATTACATATTCATAAATATGTAGGCAAGGCATTGGTAAGATTCCAAGCTCAATGAAGAGAGGCTTGCAGTGATTACGCGGATGCCATTTTTTTCATTATTCGAATAATTTTCTTTTGCTACTTAAAGGTCTGAGTACTACATGATGAGTTTCCCCAGAATTTTATGCCATATCTCAGGTGGGAATGTACATTTGCCAAATTCACATAGATGCCGTGAGCCTTAAGTAAAGATCAATAGCGTAACGAAATGAGTGCGGGCCCGCCTGCAAAACATTTATCTGAAACCCATTCATGAAAGTGTGAAGCAAACTAAGTAGTGTTAGCATCTTAAATAATAAAACTATCCCCTAAAAAACGGGTCCTCTTTTACCCGGACCCGTCCGCTTCGCGGGCCTTGCGAGTCCGAACGTTACGCCACTGGGAAAGATGGTACATACCGTTTATTCTGATGACCTAGTCTTTTGCGCCATGATTGCAAACTGTCTGTGCTTGCTAAGTGCGTTTGACTTTTTTGTGATACTTGAACCAATAGACTTTCGACTATATAGATTTTCGCCATTCTCTGATCAAGCAAGTGGGATCGGTACTCCGTCTTTCAAAATTAGCCACTGTCTGCCATTATTTCTTATGATCTGATCAATAACTTTGTCACCTGCCTTCCTTACTGAGAAGAGATTACAAAAGATCTTGACAATACCATACATCTTCAAGGTTCTACAATTACCATTTATCTTGATTTAAAAATCAGTGGTTTTTTATCAAAAATGAATTTTTCAGAAGCGGGAATATATTTTCGACAAACGCCGATGTCTATAACACTCCACGTAGTAATCGTATTCAGAAGGTGACATTTTCCAGAGCTCACTACACAAAATTCACAGACAATACATGTACATTATGTTACAATACTTTGCCAGATGACATTAAACAATTCAAATTGATACAAAAGTTAAAGTTCCAAGTAAAATCCTTTCTGCTGCATAACTGATTCTATAGAATTAGAGACTATACCGATCGTGAAAAAGGAAAATAATATTAATTTTAACAATGATATTTAATGTATTTTTTACCATTTGGAAAGCATAATTTTAAACACCTGTAACAAGTATTGTACTCGAATCTCAGCTTCTGGGTTAATGACCCCCATCTCGATAAGTACCAGTTTCCCTGGTACTTTGAGCGAATGCTGAGATGGTCCCTTATTTTACTTCTGAACATGAATGTAACTTCATTATCTGTGCACGTGTTCTAGAGTTCAGTGGGAAATATCGTTATTCAAATTATCATTTTCCACCTCCCGGCAGGAAGTATATTCCTTCACGAAGGATACGATGAGGGAAGAGAGCTCAAATCTAGTTCATTTGCCCTTGAAAATAATTTTATTACATCAGAGCGATTATTTCATTGCTTAATTATTATTATCTGAATGGTATACTTAGCTAAGACTTGTACCCCGAATTCAAATATGAAATCAGTTTTTGCCCATTGGGCTCAGTTTTCTGGTGACACGCTACTCCCTATCTATGGATATGCTTGAAAACGCTAAATTGTTTACTTTACTGTAACTTCATTTAATTATTCTGCAAAAATAATTGTTCAGGGACAATCGAAAAGTTTACAAGGAATTACTATATACGACACTTAAGAAAATTCACCACTAGGAAATGAAAAGAGTTTGGCAACATTGTTGAAAGTCATGATAGTATAGTCATGATAGTACAGATAGAATTGTGTTGTTTCTTGCCAGCTGCATCCCAGCATTAGGAGATCTGATAGCGTGGAAAGTTGCTTGGCGTGGCTGTTGTTCTAGATGACTTGAAAGCACCAAACTTCACTGTTCTGAAGGTTTGTGCTTTCTATTAAATCAAAAGAAGAAATGCCTCGTAACTGTTAAAATAGCCAAAATTCATTTTGCTGTATTTGTGGAGAATTTGTATGTGTGAAAACGAAAAAAACAAACAAACTTTAATACTCTGATAAGGAAGTATTACAAACTTTATTTAGAGTGTACGGTTGACAACCAGGACAAGAAATGGCTTCCCCACATATGCTGTGTGTCGTGTGTTATGCTCCTGACATGCTTATTAAAAGTCATTACACATGCCCTTTGCTGTTCCCATATTTCGGAAGGAACCAAAGACTTATTTTCGTGTGGCAAAAATATCTGGAATCATCCCAAAAACGAAGAAAACTGCAATGTCCTGATTTACTATCAGGCCTGTGTCTCAAAGTGAAGATTTGCTTTTACCTCCTGAGAATGTGACAATGAGTGAATGCTACTGTGACGAATATTTAGAAACAGAAGGAGATATCTATGCTGATCCAACATTTCAAACCACCTGTGACTCAAATGAATCACTTTTTGTGTCTCAAGGGAATCTTAACGATCTTATTCGTGATTTAAATTTGTCAAAGCGATAGTCTAAGCTTTCAGCTGCGCGACTAAGAGAATGGAATCTTCTTTCCGAAAATGAATGGTTTCCAAGATCTCCAAGTGTTTTTCCAAAATATTTCTCCAAGAAAAATGATACAGTTTTTGTAACGATATCGAGACTCTTGGCCATGATTTCAATGAAATTGAATGGCTCTTGTTCATAGATTCTAGCAAAATAACTCTGAAAGCAGTACTTCTCCTTAATGGAGACAAGTTTACTATTGTTCTTATAGTGCATGCATTTAACTGGAAGAAGACAATTCGGAACTTTAAACTGCTCTGCATACTTATCAAAAATGAGATACACAAAGGGAATATATGTGAAGATCTCAAGATATATAATTGCAATTCTATTCTTCTGAAACACAAAGCACTGCTGCTTTTTATGTGAGTGGGATGGCAGTAAGAAACAATCACTATTGCGGGATAAATTCCCT